TTAGGAATGACCTATCACTCCAGCCTGACCTGTTCCCGCCAATGAATGAACTAATCATGTTTAGGAGTTGTTGTTCAATTTTCCCGCGCCTCATGATGATTTGTTCTGATGTATACAAAGCCCTCCGCCCTCCCCAAAAAGTGTACTTAAGCAGTGCTCAGCCCCTGCTTGGGGCTCTGGGCTGCTTTCCCTTCTTGAGTGGGCACGGAGCCCCAGCATGCTGGTTCAATAAATCCCCTTCTGCCAATTGCATGAGTGGTCACTTGGTGGTCTCTTTCTCCGACGCTTCGCCTGACCCTTACACTTGTTATTCCACAGTGATCTGACTTAACATAGAAGTGAATGTGATTAAAAAAAATTACATAGAGCAAGTTAGGAAGATAGGAAGCTATGTACTAAAGAATCTGGGAATGAGTATGTTTTCATCAAGTTTTGAAGGAATGTTATGGTAGTGACTTAAAAGATCAGTTAGGTGGTATTTATGAAATCAACTTTAGGACACAAAAGTCACCTTAGTCACTCAACCTCTGTGCAACTGAGATAAAAATAAGTAGCTTGTATTACTACTAAAATAAGGGGGCAAATGCAATAGTAAGGGGCTGTATGATAAAACAGAGCTTACAAATAAAAGTCTGTTACAAATGACAGAAAACTCAATCTAGCTAGCTATTTATTTATTTATTCTTTACTTTTAGGTGGACACCATATCTTTATTTTACATTTATGTGGTGCTGAGGATCGAACCCAGTGCCTCGTGCATGCTAGGTGAGCATTCTACCACTGAGCCACAACCCTAGCCCCTCAATCTATCTAGTTTAACAAAATATTTTTATCAGCTCATATAGCTAAAAAGTTTAGAAGTAGGTCTGCTTCAGGCCATGCTTGACCTAGTGGCTCAAACAATGTTGGCAAGGAACTAGTTTCCCCGTTTTGCCACTGTTCTCTTTGGCATTAGCTTTATCCACAGGCTCTACGAGGTATCATCTGGAAGCTCTAGAATCTCCCCTTTTCATAGAAAAAAAAATAGTTGCTAGGGTCCCAGGCCTAACATTTTCTTATATGACACACAAGGGACAGAGAATCTCTTTTGGTAGCTTTCAAAGATGAAAAAGTCATTCTTCCAGAAGACTCAGTAAATATCTCATGCCACATAGCTTTGTGGCCAAAGGGATGGGAAAGCTGACTGACAAGCTAAACAGGGTTGTGACACGAAACTCATGAAACTGTGGGTGGATCCAAACCACCTCGCTGAGAACGGATACCTTCCGAAAGAATATTTGGGTTACTCTTGCCAGAAAGAAGTTGAACAGATGACAGAAAACAAGTCAGAGATGACAATTACAGAGTCCTAACTGAAAGCCTCAAAAGCAGATGCTCAGAACTGCAGACATGAATTTGCAATTGAGTTGCTTCTAACACAGGCAACTTTTAACTGGCTACAGCTTGCAATATAGCAGGAACTTATTCATTCCCCCAGGGAATTCTGGGTAGGTTAGCTACTTTTCAGTATTCTATTTCCATACATCCACATTTTCTAATCCTATATTTTTTTAATTTGAAGACAAAATTTTACCATAATAAATTTTTATGCTTTTTAATATATTATTATTGTAACTTATCAGAAAATGTTAATTTCCACTGTTTACATTTCTCCAAAATTTAGGAACTAGGTATTAATATTTTTTTCATCTTCTGACTTTTACATGTTTAGAAAGTGTCATTACAAATTACATCTTTCATGATAGGAACTTAGGGCTTCTAAGTGCCTGCCTATAGGCCTCTGGTAAGGAAAAAAACAGTTGGAACTCTCCTAGTAGGGGCCACCCATTCCCACATGCATCTTCCTAATCCTTTAGAATACCTATCTTTTGCTGTATTTTGGTACTTCTCATTATGTTACTTATGAATCTTGCCACCCAACCACTCAACCTACAAACATTTCCATCTTTGAGCAGTGGCATTCCTAGGGTTGATCACCTTCCCTGATGCTCCATGGTAGGTCCAAACTGTTCCTTCTCTTGCATGATTCTACTTCCTCAGGCTTCTGATGCGTAAACTCTCTTTCCAATTTTTAAGATACTGACCTCATCCAGCACATATTCATCATTCTGACTTTGGGAGCTTACGAATATTTAGGGTTTCGACCATCATCTCCTAGCAGCCCTTGTCCATGTTCCAACCCTATTTCAACTGCTGCCTGTAGTGTTGTCAACACCTCAGGGCTGCCCTTTCTTAGCATCCCTTGCTGGTACCTCCCTCTATCCAGCTCCCTAAATACTGAATTGATATTCCATAGCTCTCTATCCTGGGGTCTTGGTATCTTGCTACATCTTGAAGGCAGCACTGTGTAGAACTTTCTGCAATGATGAAAGCCTTCTAAATCCGTGCTACATAATAAGATGGCTACATATGGTATGCTTGAAAGGTGGCCACATATGATATGCTTGAAATGTGTATAAAGGAACTGCATTTAAAAATTTTAAATAGCCACATGTGGCTAGTGGTTTCTGCATTGGACAGTACAGCTCTAGATTTTATAAATTTCTTCCCATCCTCCAGGGGATTTTGTTCATTGCTTCCCATCCTTTATGTCTCCTGCTCATTTGATATCTCCCAAATAAACAGCTTTAGTCATGGCTAACATGGTGTTCTAGCCCATAATATACAATGGCCAACTTGAACATCTCACCCATATCTCAAATGTGTTAATCCAAAATAAGGGTTATTGACTTCTCCCTTCCCGAGCCTATTCCTCTTCTAATATCATCCATTATAATCAATTGTTCACTCACTTTTTCAAATCAGAAAACGATCCCTGACCCCTCTTAGTCCATTACTCCTTGTATTGAATGCATCTGCACATTATGGCTTTATTTCCAAAATATATCCACCTACTTCTGTCTCCACTACCACCAGTCTCTCTGGGCCATCATCCTTTCCAACCGGGGCTACTACAGTCCCCAACATAATCTCTCCTTCCATTCTTGTCCTTTTACAAATCATTTCTATGTAGCAGAGTGACCATCTTAAAGCATGACTCAAAATATCACTCTTCCATTGGATGGCTTCTTTTCGTTCAAAGAAAAATAATATTCTGGCCTGCCTAATTCCCTCCAAACCCAATTTGTGCCATACACCTTTCATTGTTATACCATATCTAAAAATCTTTTGTGTGTGTGTGGGGGGGGGGGGGGTTGTGTTTATTTGAACCCAGGGCCTTGCAAATGCAAAGCATATGCTCTACACTGAGCTATATCCCCAGCCCCTCTTTTGGTTTCTTGAACATACCAAGCTCCTCATACAGCAGGGAGTCTTCACAGCTGTTCCCTCTGCCTGCTGTTCTTCCTGTTCTTAAGAGGCTCTTTCTCACATATCTTCCATTCTTGTCCTTTTACAAATCATTTCTACATAGAAATCATAGAAATGATTTCTATGTAGAAAGTGCTCTCATATTCTTGGTTTTAATGTTACCTCTTAGGATAGGCCTTCACTGATCACCTATATTAAGTGGGCCCCTCCCATCAGTCCATCTCAGTACCTTGCTCATTTTCTTCATCACATTTAGACTTTTAATAATTTTGTCTAATTATCCTGAAGGGGTACTCTCTCACATTAGGTTAAATGTTCCAGGAAGGCAGGAACAGGTCTGATATATTTAAAAAGCACCTGACAGCGTGCTTTTCACACAAGTAGTTTCCCAAATAATATTTGCATACAACTTCCCACTGTTCACATCAGTCATTTCCATTTCTTGGTTCCATGTGGTACACAAGTTTTGCTGCTTATTAGATGTTACCCAAGCTGGGCTACCCTGGAAAAAGTTCACTTTATTAAATGACATTAGGTTTCAGCAATCAGGAACTCTAAAGTTACGAATATTTGTGACTTTTCAGGAAGCAGAAGTTTGGGGCAGGCAGGCCCACGGTTTCTCTTCCTTGCTCCCTGGTCAAAAAAATGGGATGCCTCAGCAACAGTGAAGCAAACTGCACCATCCACAAAAAGTGGTTCTACAGGTAAAGAGTCTCGTGTTTCAAATCTGTTTGGATCAACGTTCTCCGCTGAACAAGGCCTTTCATCCTCTCAACCTTTAAGGTGGTTAGGGCCACTTTCTAATATCCTGTATCTTTCACAGTACTGGCAGTTTGTATTCTCCTTCTAAAACGTTGAAATCAGACTCCTGATTTCAAAAGGAATTAATTTTAGGCTTCCTTACTTTCCTGCATAGAATCTATGTATTCCTAGCATTTGTTTTCTCTGATCCTGGGCCTAGGAAGAATTTAACTCTGATACCAAGACATTGGGTTATATGGGAATTTTTCAACTGCTAACTGAAGGATGTTACCTAACAGAGCATTAACCACCACCAGAGTAACCACTATCCCCTACCCTTGGTGATGGCCCCATGACTTATTTTAGGATATGGACTATCATAGTGATGAGTAGGGGACAGCCTGGGAGATTTAGGATAATAGAGCAGTAAAGGGTTTTAACTCTACATATTTTTATGAAAAAAAAATCTTCACGGGGTTTATGTTTTCCCAATCCTAGAGTGCTGTCTCATAACACAGGGCAATGTGGTCTCTCAGCATTGCACAACATGAACCCCTCTCTACTGCTTTCCCTAAGTTACCCTGAGACCTCCAGAAGGACCACAACTTCAGAGTAAGGGAAGGTCCTGAAGTTGGCAAATGTGACCTATATCAAATAAGGTTTTCTGTGAGGAAGACTTATGAAAAGCAATATTAAAATTTGCATATACAGAAAATCTCCAAAAAGATTCACAACCTATAAAAGTGATTGCTTCTGGGGAGAACTGGGAGACAAATGACAAGAAAATTTACTTTTCACTGAGCATCCTTCAGAACTCTTTTTTTTTTTTTTAAATCATGAGCATGCTCTATCTAATATTTAAAAAATAAGCTTAAAACTTGAGAAACAAAAGAAATGCAATATTGGTCTTCATAGAGTTATTCAGATGGAGTCAAAACTAAGAGACATGATACTGTTTGAAAAACATGAGATAGCATATAATTAGATACTAACTTGGGTGGCACTGGTTACAAGTAGAAGAGGAAGAAAGGTCTGCTTAATTGAGTAGGTGCTCAATCAAGTGGTGCTTCATATAAACACAGCAGTACAGAGGATCTAGACTTGCTAGAGTGGTATCTGTTCAAGATAATACTGGCTATTAGGGTTATAGCAAATTGTAGAAGGGCATCTTACTTGTCTCTGGGGCTCCTATAGCCTATAAATTATAAGCAAGGATCACCAATATGCATCTCTAATGTTCAAGAATGTGAGAGGTCCAACAGTTATAGGGTTTCTCTTTAGCATGGCGCCTTTGGTGCTTAATCAAGACAGAATTCTGACTGAAGGCCTTCCCACAGTCATTACACTTATAGGGTCTTTCCCCAGTATGGATCCTTTGATGTCGGATAAGGTGTGCCTTGCAAATGAAGCTTTTCCCACAGTCAGTACATTCATGAGGCTTCTCTCCAGTGTGGACCCTCTGATGCTGTGCAAGATCAGAGTTCCACATGAATCCTTTCCCACAATCTTTGCATTCATAAGGCTTCTCCCCAGTGTGGATTCTCTGATGCCTAAGAAGAGCTGGGTTTCGAGTAAAGCTTTTCCCACACTCCTTACATGTGTATGGTTTCTCCCCAGTGTGGATTCGCAGATGTTGTATAAGACTTGTGTTCTGACTAAAACCCTTCCCACATTCCTTACATTCAAAGGGTTTTTCTCCAGTATGTATTCTCTGATGCCTAATCAGGTTTGACTTCCAAACAAAGGCTTTGGCACATTCTTGACATTCATAGGGTTTCACCCCACTGTGAATTCTCTGATGTGCAATGCAATGAGATCTAAAACTGAAAGCCTTTCCACATTCCTTACATCCATAGACCTTGTCTCCATTATGAGTTCTTTGATGTTGACCAAAGTCTTCATTTTGATCAAAACATTTGCCACATTCTTCACATATGTAGAATACCTGCTCATTTAGAATTTTCTGATGCATCCTGAGGTAGTTACTAACATCAGTATTCTCTGAACCCTCTTCTACTGAGACCATCTCATCCTTGACAATCACTTCTACAATGTCATTTGTAGTGTTTTCCAAATTTCTCCTACTGGAGTAGCTAAGCCATATCCTTAACCTGCTTTTCTCCTCTTCACAGGTTTTTCCAAAGGAGAAATCCTGGGAGCCATACCACTGGGATCCACTTGATAGCACCATGAGGTCCTGTGTCTCCTCAAAAACTTCCTCTTTCAGAATAAAATCTTCTTTCTCACTCTTCAACATGTTCTCTGAAAGAAGAAATCAGAGCTGCAAATATCATTACCTATAATAGTGACAAAGGTCACTAAGTCATATAAATATATCCCTGTCTCTCCAAGGTCACCCCTTGTCTCGATGGCCCCATCTTAGCCAAAAATGACAAAAATAGGGCTAACACATGAAAAGCAACCAAAAGTAAAAGGTGGAAACTAGATAGATTCCTCAGGGACTGTAATTCCACAAAACCAAGCTAAGCGCTAAAACCCCAATCCATGACTATTTAATTAATTGAGCTTATCCTATTAAAATGTGGAAGCTCTGGTCTTAAGTTTCCTCTTAATAAATTGGTTGATGTGAAAATTTTGGAAAGTCATTTATTTAGAACATGAATGGCAAAATGGGTTTTTTTTTGGGGGGGGGTGGTATTGGGGATTGAACTCAGGGGCACTAAAGCACTGAGCCACTTCCTCAGCCCTATTTTCTATTTTATTTAGATTCAGGTCTCACTGAGTTGCTTAGTGCCTCACTTTTGCTGGGGCTGGCTTTGAAATAAAGATCCTCCTTCTTCAGCCTCCTGAGCTGCTGGGATTACAGGCATGCATCACTGTGCACAGCCAAAATGGGCTTTTAATATTTTAAAAAGAAAAGACAGAGGAAACTCTATGACTGAAAGAAAAATGCTCATTTCCTTCTCTCTTACCAGTATAAATTAGGCCTGGACTCTCTACTGGTAGTTTCAAGTTCAGTGGCTCTTCCAGCTGCTCAAGATGGGAGATCCCAGCAGGCTTTAGAAATGGATATCCTGCCAGGGGCAAGGTACAAATAAGACTGGCTCAGTTGGAGGAGTGTGACCCATTAGGAATGGAGCAGAAATGGAAGTGGTGAGGGAAGAATTAAGGTAGGTAGAAAGATAGGTTACACAAATGATCAGCAATTCAAGGGAGATAGGAATATAATGAATAGAAAACAGTGGAATAGGAAAGTTGCAATTCCATCCCTTCCCAATGATATGAAAGCATATCACTCATTGTAAAATGTCAAGAAGAAATAGAAAAGACCAAGTCCTCTTCTATGGGTTGTAAAAAGTTCACATACAAAAGAATCAGGATAGGATAGAGTTCAGAAGAGCTGTTCCTAAGGACTTTCTGTCTAGGCAGGATATTCTAGGAAACCATAGTCTCTTGGTTTCCTTTCTTCTTCTCCATCTAATACCATTTATTCCACAAAGGATCAATGATGGGTTTGTCTGTGACATCCATAAGAAATAATATCACAGCCTCACTAAGCCATTTCTAGAAGTCACTTCTTAGTCTATGACAGACATCTCTATTCACAAAAGTTCACTCTAGCAATTTTACTTCAGGCTTACGTAACATCTGTCACTGTGTAGTTCTATCCATAACTGCCTAAGCAACAGGTCAGTTCTACACCTTCAAACGACAATCTTATATATGGCTGAAGCCAAAGACTCTGTGTCCCCTGAGATCATCTTCTCTAAGATGAAAGTGGACTGAGTGAAGACAGATCTACTCCAAGGAAGTCTGCTTCAGGTCAGGGAGTTAGAGTTTTGCTCAAGGAATAACTTAGCTGTTGATTTTTTAACTAAGGCAAAGGAGATAAATTCGCAAAGGTGGAGAGGAAAGGAAGCACTGAGATCCTGAGAAAATGCAGGAGACATTGATTACTCCTTCTACATTCATTCTACACCTCACCATTGTGGAGTAGCTACAGCAGCATGGGGAGTGATCCCAACTTCAGCTCCTAGGCTAGGCTCTGAAATGGTCTAAGCCAAGCAAGTTAATCCTATCCCATTCACCATGGAAAACTGGTTCAGGGATCAGCAATTCAGCCCAGTCAATCAGTATACATTATTTCCCTGGTCAAGTGACTGATTAAGGGCTGGCTTATGACTTAAGAAGGTACATTAGAGCAATACTTGAAACTTTTAATTTTCTCGGATAAAGCCTAAGGAAGATCTATCCTGTTTTCTTTCCCTAGGTACGAAGAAGCAAATCACCTTACAACCACAAGAGAAGCCCAGACTGTAGGCAAAGCCAAATACATGGAGACAGAGCAGAAACTGTTAAACTGTACCTGTAGCTCACGACAGCCCTCCCAGTTACATAAAACAATAAATTCCTCTTTATTATTTAAGCCAGTTTTAATGGGGTTTATACTTGCAATCAAAAGTATCCTAATATAAAAAAAGACTGCCAGAACAAGAACATGGAGGTTGCAGGCACAGTTCAAGTCTCACAGAGCGGTAGAAGAGCTCTGGGGGGGGAAGATGGAAGTTTTCCAGAAAGGCAACAGGGAGACACAGTTCTCACTAGGAGAGCAGGAGAACAAGCTCTTTCTAGGAAAACAAGAAAGATTTGTTTGGGGCAAAAGTAATACCGGGGCTTTTCCTATCAGCAATCCCTTAAGAATAAGAACTATTTGGCTGAGGGTTATTAAGATTCTGTGCTCTTTAATGATAAAGAAGGCCTTCATGTCCCAAAGGGCAGCCAGAATCTTTTGCTGGAAGTCTCTAAGCAGGTCAGGAAAGTAGAAAGGCCACCTCCAGTGGGAGTAATCAGGAAAGTCAGGGAATACATAAATGGTGGTTATGACAACAGCAGAGATGAGGAAGAGGCAGAGTTGAATAAAGATGGCTCAGAGGAGCTAGAATGAATAAAACAAGAACTCAAAGAAAACCATGAGAATACAGAGAAAAAAGGAAATCCAACTAGTATCTATGGCACTAGGTTAAAAGAACACATATCCATTACATTTTTAAAAGACATGATGACTAGCATATGTCCTCACTCACCTGAGGAGATGGCCCTTGGACCCTCTCCATCCAGAGCTCCCCAAGGAGCTGAGCACCAGGGTGCTTCCCCTCGCTCCAGCTGGGAAATCAGAGTCGGTTTGGGAAATGGAAATGCCGCTTGAGGGGAAGGAAATGGGACAGGCAGGTGAGTGGGGTGACACAGAGCAATCCCAGGGCTCCTCCCAGGCCTGTGTCTTCAGGGGCAGAAGAGTAAAAAAAGGAAAATAACTAGGAAGAACAGGGAAAGGAAGTCCAGGGAAAATAGCAGGAGACCCAGGGGAGAGGGACCAGGAAGCTTTTTATATATTTTTTATTCTTACAAAGATTCAGAAGTTGACAGAGTACATAAGAGGTGCTCAATGACAGTTTCAGTCAGGAAATGCCTGATTCCACTGATTAAGGAACTGAACCTTCTTATCTTCTCCCTTTTAGAGCAATCAAGTTTAGACATCTACATGAAGATGTTTGCCACTGGGCAGGATCTCCCTACAGGGGGAACCAAAGACTCAGTGGGGCGCTCAGTGGGGCACTCAATGGGGGTGAGACATTGGGCAGCACTAACTGCTCAGCAAGGGAATCCTGTGCAAGGCCCAAACTGATCCCAGGACTTCCATTTCCCAGCAACTGCTCAGGTTAGATCCTGAAGCTACCACTGATCTGGGTATTATTAAACTCCTGAGCCTTTAAGAAAGAGTCAGGAAACTCTAAAGGGCAGAGGCAGAGCCAAAGGGAAGAGATCCTTACCCAGGGAAGTCACAGTCCCATAATTCTCCAGCATCACATCTCTGTACAGGGCCCTCTGAGCAGGGGCCAGCCCTGTCCATTCATTCTCAGAGAAGTAGACGGCCACATCCTCAAAGGTCACTGATTCCTGAAACAACATGTGTTTAAGTGTCCTAGGTCAATCCCAGGCTCAGGCTTGCCGTAATGGCAGACAGGATACCAAGAGGTACTGGCAGGGATATCTGCTGTGTTTATGGATTCTGAACATCTATGGAAATGCTCAGATTTTTGCCCCCTACTTACAAACATATAAGAGATCAGCCATCAATTTTCTCATGTCTGTTCATCTTTATTTCAGTAATAGAAACATCCTTCTTTTTCATGAATCTCTGCCAAAGTTTTCTTTCCAAAACCACCCTCTGTGGTCTAGATCCCATCCTTTCTCCACAAGAGGTCCTCCTTCAAAGTTCACCACCCCTTGGTAACAACTATATTTTACTGAGCTGTGCCAAGTTCAGTATATTTTCACATATTACTTAATATCTCACTATCTATGGAGAAGGGTACAGATCCATTTTACAGAAGAGGGCACTGAGGCTCAGAGAGATTAGTTTCCTCCAAAGCTACAGAGCTGAAACAGCCTGTGTGACTCTGACTCTTGCATACTGTGTCAGACTGCCTTCAAATGTCACCACTCCTGCTGTGTAGGACCCTTCCTCTTTTTCCCTCCCAGCCACCAAAGTGCCTCTGACCCACCCAGGTTACCCTGGGATAAATCCTGAACTGTGGCTTTATTCTCAGAATCCCCCACCCCTATAAACTCTCCAAAACGTCCCACCCCACTCTCTTCCACAAGGGCCTATCTCGGGATCTGTATCTGTAGGAGCCTCTGCATCTTCTCTTTTTTATCTCATCCTCTTCCTCAGAAAACACCAACAGTGTTAACCTACAGCCATCAAGAGTTCTTATAATTCTATCCACTGCCTCACTCAGCATCTGTCTTTATATTACTGAGGAGCAAGTTCTGCTCTATTCCACTGCCATCCTTGCCCACAAAGTCCCCACAGTGATTTATTAAGCACCACGGGGCTCAAAGGCTTTGGCTGGCTCCCCTCTGCCTACCTAATAAAGATTCCAATTCCTGGGCACGGAGAGAATTCCTTCACTATTCAGAGAGCCAGCTTACCTGCACCATCCCTACTCTCTCACCATTCGGTTGGAAAACCAAACTCTCCTCCCCATGGCTGTGCCCTGGCACCTGCAACTCCCCCTACCTAAACAAGTGCTTCCTCCTGTACCTGTCAATTCTGGTTCATCCTGAACCCAGCTCAAACATAACCAGCTCTATAAAAACAGCCTCATCGAATTTTGACCAGTTCTGGTCCTTCGCCTCCGCCCACACTGATCAGCGAACAGCGCTCCAGCGCTCGACTCCCGCCTGCGCGGAGCATGCCTGCTTCCCCTCCCGGGTGGGCCGTGGAGAGTGCCCAGTGCTCTGGACCCTGCCAGTCCCTCGGGGCCGCCCTCAGGGCTACACCTCATTCCCAGGCCGCCTCCCGCCCCCTCCCCGCCTCCGATCTGCGCCCGGAGCCCGGCAGCTCCGAGCCTGCAGGAGCACCCGCCCGCACTCACCGGGCGCGCCCGTCCCGGCAACAGCTCGAGGACCCGGCGGAGGCGCGCTCCGCTCTCCAGGGCCGCGGCCGCCATGGCCCGGTGGCCCTCCGGGTAGGCGAGCGCAGGGGCCGGCGGCCCGACGCAACACCCTAGTCCTAGGAGCCGCCGGATGAGAGCCGGGTCCTCGTCCAGCCAGCCAGCTCTGGACAGCCGCGCTCAGCGGCCCGGACCCCAGCAGCTGGAGGCCGAAGCCGCGCGCCTTACCGCTATGGCTTCTCTAGGACGGCGGAGGCGCCGCGTCTCTGTGGTTCTTCTTCCCGCCCGGGGCGGGAGGAGAGAGTAGTCGGGTCTCCCCAGACACCAGCAGCCCCGCTGCACCGTGGGGCGCTGGGGGGAAGCAGTTGGAGAAGCAGGCCTCTCTGGGAATCCTTTCCCATGTTCCTGATCACCCCTTCCTCTCCACCTCGCTGCATCGTGATGCTGGCGGGAGGCAGCATGTTGACTGCAACCTTCCTCTACTTGCCTCCGTTTACTAATTTCTCCCTTATCCAAGAGCTGATTATGTCCATGATTTTTTTTCATCCTTGTGCCTCTAATGTTCACCCAACTAAAGCCAGAATTAGACAGGCAGTCAATGTAGATAGGTAAGTCGAGTCAGGTTGGATCAAGGAGGTCAATTTTAAGTGAATCTTGGAAAGTTGGAGACTGTCCCCTGAGGAGTTGAAATGTTAATTCCTTCAGATCCCTTTCTGCGCCCTTATCAAGAACCTGCCCCTGCTCCAACCTGTTGCCAAAGTAACCAGTCCCCCCTACTGGGAGCTATAAGGTTGTTTATGGGTCCTTGGCTACTCCCTCCTGCCCTTCCCCCTTCAGCCCCCCTGTTTCCCACCTTTTGACAATCCCGTGGAGCATTCCTGGGCCTAGTCGCAGGAAGGAGAAAGTTAAGGAGGAAGAGGCAGGAGAATAAAGAAAGCCTAGGACACAAAAAGGGCAGAACACCTCGCTTTTTGGGATACCATGGCCCCCTTCTCCCTCCTGGAAGAAGTATATGTCACCCCTTTTTAAATAAGCCCTGCTTTAGATCTTGCCTCGGTGTGCTTCAAACTTCAACATGTGTGTTCAAACTTCAACATGAGGGGAAGCAGGACTCTGCACCGATAACCACCAATATCACAATGTCTAGCATCTCTGGGAGCCTAATTTTTTTTTTCAAGTATCACCATGTTTATGGATAGATACAAGTATATAACATCAGGGCATGAACATTGCTTGATAAGTAGACTTAATTGCAATACTATAAGAGGGGCCAATTCAAATTCTCACCATTTGTTTCACAACCATGAGCCTCCGTTCTTTAAGCACCAAGGAATATTTGTTCAATAGAAGAAAACTAAATGTGGAACCAGTTTCTTCAGTTGACAAATGTAAGGTCGAAAGAGAGGAAATGGATTGCCTAACATCACACAGCATGCCAGGAAGGTAAAATTTTAAACAGAATTGTGGCAACAAATGAAGACCACCCAAATCAGAACAAGCAAACGCTATTCATTCAGAACTTGCTACAGCAAGGGAGTCAGCCACCACCACTTGCATCTGGCAGACTGAAAATCAGGCAGAAGAGAGCTTTATCAGGGAGAGCTTTGTAGTGATAAAGAGGGAAAACTTCAGGTGGATCCTGATTGGGACTTGTTGACCTGGAAAGCTAGAGACTCTCAAAGGAGAACCCCAGCTTCTTAAGTGATTGGTTAGGGGAGCATATTTGACTTTCTTTAGTTGATCCCAAGTTGGAAGCAGGGGCAAAAATTAAAGAATTTGTCAGTTATTAATCAAATCTTTTGCTGTTTGGGGCTGATTGCGACAGGAGTCATTGTTTTTCTTCCTGGACTGGCTGATACAAGTAGTAGTTTGACTTCCTGATGTGGTTATTGGGGGGGGAAAAAAGACTTGGCTTCATGGACTGGTTGATTCAAATTGTAGGTAGAGTTCTGTTTTCCTATATGGGCTAGTCATTAACCATTCATATAGCCAGGGTGAGCACAGTAGGAAGATTTCTATTTCACAGGAATTCAAGTGCACAGGCTGAGATGCTCAGGTGCCTTACAAAAAAAGTTCCCCAGATACTAAATACTTACCAGAACATGAAAAAAAAAAAAATACAGTGCAAAGGAAACCTTCAATGGGTTCCAGGGCTGGTTTGTTTTCAAGAGGGTACTGAGGAGGCTCATAAATGGACCCTAACTGATAGCCTGTGAGTGCTAGAAGGAAATATTGATTCTTACCATGGGGATAATTACTAGGTAGATTGAATATGACAAAGGCCCCCATGGTTTTCTTGAGAACAAGATGGAGAAAACTGTACTTGGTGACAAAACAACTCAGAGGGTTTTAGTTCTGAATAAGAAACTCTTTGAGATGTATGATTATTCAGCCATGGTCCACCAGGAAGATCTTCTCTTGCTATAAGCAGTGTTTTGGTTCAAAACTTTTGGAAAACTAAAGAGGAGAGGAATAAATAGTCTCTTTTACTTGGCCATATTTTTACTCTTTCCACTATTCTTTCTGTAAAAACACACAGTAGCAGGCAAGGTAAAAAAAAAAAAGCCATTTTTTTAAGATTCAAACAATGTATTATTAAAATAGATAACAAAACTAGTCAAATATGCCAGCTCCCCAGGTATTTGGCCCAGGCACCAAAAAGAAATATATTAGTCCTTTTTATTCTAACAAAATACCAGTGGCAGGCTACTTTATAAAGAAAAGAGGATTGTTTTAGCTCAGAGTTCTGGAGGTACAACGTTTAAAAAGCTTTGGTGATGGCCTTCTTTCTGGCAAAGTCCTGATACAGCTCAGAGTATCACATGGCAAGAAGAAGTGTGTGTGTCTGTGTGTCTAGTCTCTCTCACTCTTCTTATAAAATCACCAGCATTCAATGTTTAGCCACCCTAATGAACTTATCTAAATATAATCCCTTTTCAAAATATAACTAAACACTTCTAAATATCATAGATTAAGTTTCCATCCTCTGAATACCTCTCAAGGGGGTTTAAATTTCAACATGAAGCCTGGTGAGAGTGGGCAGAAGACCTGGAAGGGAATGGGAGAACACCTTAAAAATCTCCTCTCATCTCTCTCGTGTTCTGGAAGGATCTCAAGATAATCTTTCAAGACTTAGATTAGCTGTAGTTCATACCTTGCCAGCATGACTTATCTATAGGATGTACAAGAAAGCCGAGGTAGCATAGTAGAAGAATTCCCCTAGAACTCCACCTCAACATTTACACATACAGTTAATAATTCCCAGGCTCACAAGACACCACCTAGGTTCATAAGATAGTCTAATTAATTTTACTGATAGGGGCTTTGATGAAATCCAATTCTCTTAAGCAATATTGGTCTACAGTGACTACAATTATGATTTAAAGAGGCCCACTGGAGGGTAGACCACAGCCAGGCTTCCCATTTGGAACCATGCCAGCTAAATATGTTCTCATTAGGTGTTGGCAATGGCACATGCCCCACCTGAAAATTACTAGTAGGGAATCCAGAGCAGTGTAACTGTCTACTATCGGTTGTGCTAGAGAATTTCAAACAGTAAGTAGTCTTTGAGAAAGCATCCAAAGAGACCAAAAATATCAGAATGAGGCTAAAGAGAAATTTGTGGGTCTTCAAAGTTAACCTTCTTCTGTTGTTTCTTGCTGAGAGTATTCCATCTGGAGTTGGTGCCTACTGGGATGATTCTGAAAATATTTAAGATTATTTGTTGGCCAGTGGTTGAGAGAGGTGGCAGAAGACTGGGTTAAATTGACCAGATATCTTGCAGAAAATGGCTGAAAGAAATTAATGGTCCCTCCCTCTGATCCTGACTATTCCAGGGCTGAAGATATTCTTTTCTTACCAATTAGGGTTGTTCCTTACCTTCCACAGCCAAAATCAATATGACCAGTCTCTCTGACGATTGTTTCACCATTTCCCTAACCCTCCCCATGTCTTTCCCACACCATACACTGGTGAAGGCCTTCCTGCACCTGCTGTCTGACAGGGTCACAGTGTGGGGGATGCTGCGTCAGGGCCGCACCATCTGGAAACTGGAACCATTAGGAATGTTAAGTGTTTTGTTTATGATACTCATGATATGGATAACAGGGCATATTGTATTGCCCTGTCAATTGTATTGCCTGAGATTGCAGGAAAATTCCCAGAATGAGACTAAGGATATAATTGAGACACGCCATGAGATGTGTTTCAATACCTCTCAGGATACAAACAATGGTGTTATTCCTGAAGCCTAAACAACAGAAATATTTATCCCATGGTTAACAATTTACATTAGCCCCCACCTAACCCCATGCTAAAGCCACAACTTGCACAATAGCCTAGTTACAGAAAAACAATTGCTGTGCCAACAGTACAAGGACCATCTATGTAGCTTATGGTATCCTCTTTGAGGACAAGAGGCTAATAAAAATACATTCCTCCAACCAATAGACCCTCCTTTGCCGTAAACAGAAACTAATGATGAAAATGGAAAACACATAGTTAATATAAATGACAAATGGATTGAGGTGTAAAGCATGCCCTTTAGTTAAAGATTACTAAGACGTAAGAATTGGTATGCTTTGACCAAGGATCAAGGAAGTTCTTTAAGAAAGCAGTTGAATAGGTCATATGAAAAAAAAGAAATTACCTTGGAAATTAAAAATAGAATAATGTAAAATTAACATAGATATAGTTTAGAGGCACTTCAGAGTAGTAGGCTTTTAAATAATAGACTTTCACTACTTTAAGTGTGTTTACTGGGATTTTAGTTTAGAAGTAAGAAAGCTTACCAATAATCATAAGTATGCTTTAAAGTTAAAGGTTAATGAAATAATTATAGGTATGCTTTAAAGTTAGAAGTGAATAATAGGTCAGGAGTCATGTAATCTAGTTGTGTCGCCTAGCACCTAGTGATTGAGGTGAAAACGTAAAAGCTTAATCATGATTGACTAAGGTTACAGAAAAAATATTTTGAACAATGTACTCAATATCTTAGGTAATCAATGTATGTCAGAAAAGGTTGTAACTCTTGAAAATTATGTAACTCAAAAAGTTTCGGGCTTTGAAGCTATCCATTAACTACCTAAAAAAAAAACACCTGTAAAAAAAGGTATAAAAATAAAGATCCGTCCAGGGGCAGCAGAGATTTCTTCTGGAGGCTGCTCATAACTTGCAACCTGTCGACTCTTCTTTCACTGACGTCACTCCTCCTTCAGGACCCCTGGAATCCCACTACTCCCCCTCTACTTACCACCGGGGCTGGACCTCAGCAATACACTAAGACTCATCCCTAGTTAGCTCCGGACTTCTAGTGTATGTGCACATACCCATGTATATGTTGGGAATTCAACCCAGGGCCTCATGCGTGCTAAGCACACACTGAACCTACTCTAGCCCCAGTAGTTCCTTTCTTATGCAATTTGTAGCATCCTGGAATATCTCCTTCCCTCCTGACATGTGGGCCATGCCAAAACCACCTCATGAGCTATCATCTCATATTCATATCACTATCATCACCATAATCTGTAACTGCCCACATCCAGTAAGTATATCTGTGTGACAATAGCAATAGACACACAAACACATTCTTCTCCCACTCCCTGGCTCATGTTTCTTACTTTCAAATTTTAGAAGTCCAGTTTCTCAGGAATAGGCATGAGAAGAAAAATAGGGTGAGAATGATGAATTATGTGGTTTGGGACTCTTGCAGCCAACTGGGACCTTCTCCCACTCCTGAACCTCATGATTACACATTATATTTAAGTGGGAAGCACTTTTAAGGGGGACTTGTCAAATTAAGAGTTCAACTGATGATCTTGAGTTGTACACTACTGAAGTGAGGGTAGAAGTCCTATGCCCTGCCTGACTCCACTGACACTGGTTAGAGCTTGGGGGAATAGAGTGGCAGCTAGCAGTGTTCCACACCATACTACTTATGTCTCAGATGGGGGTGGAAGGTCAGGTTTCACTGGGACCCCATGACTCCTCCCCAGCAGAAAAACCAAAGTACCAGCTAGTACTGCTTTGTATTGCCTAGTTCTGCTGCTTTGCTGCTTGATGAGGTGGAAGTTCAATTCCATTTTCATCTCTTCTGCCAGTTGGGGAAATAGGGCCAACTCACCCCATCTTGCTGCTGCCAGGTTGGACTGCAGATCCAGTTCCTTATTCAGTCCTGGTGGCACCACAGGTTGGGAGTGTAGCCACGGTGGCAGAACCACTCCCAAGATCCTAGACTGAAGGACCCCAAGGCCCCAGGCCCAACATTAGGAAAACTAACCCCTGTGCCCTGAAGCTGCAAGATGTTCCATATAGATAACCCCGGAAGGGCCAAACTTGAGCAAACAGGGTAAAAACAGGAACTAAAAGGACAGGATGCAATTTTATGGTTTTTCTGAGAACTAAAGTGGGAAAACAAGTTTACCCCCCTAGGTGACTCAACTGCTGAATTCAGAGGGACCAATAGGAAGGCTGTTGCTGTGCTAAGCTAAGACCTAACCCACCTGTTCCCTATAAAAGATCTATACCCCAAAGCCCGGTGTGCCAGTTCACCGAAGCTCCGGCTGAGGTTTTGCTGTGCACCCGCAGGCGCCTGTGTGAGAATAAACGCCTCCTGCTTTTTGCAGCCAGTGTCTTGTGTGGTTCATTCCGGGTTTGGGATCTGTGGATATTTCATTGTGGAGGTTCCACCGAGATCCAAGATCCCGGTTCCGGTTCCGATCCCGGTCCCTATCCGGAGGACACCCGACATCACTGGGAGGTAAGCTGGCCAGCTCAAACTGACTGTCTTGTTGTCCTGTTGGTTATCTGTTCTTTGTTCCGCGCAGCGTCTGTAAGACTATATGATCCTAGGCATAGTCATTTAGTATTCTGAGTATTCTGAGGCAGTTCTGTCATTTAGTATTCTGAGGGAGCTTGAGAAGGAGTTGACGAACTCGGACTTCTCCCCTGCCACCCTGGGAGACGTCCCAGGGATCAGAAGGGTCCATTTCTTTGGGGCCCCCGGTGTTTCCAAGGGTTACACCATTTTTGTAGGCGACAAAGAAGTACAAACTTCTCCCAGGCCATCTGATTTGTTCGGTTTCCACCGAAGCCGCGCAGCGATCTCACTGTTTGGTTTCGTTTTTGTGTCATTGTGTCTGTCTCTCTATTTCCTCTCTGAGAATAACATGGGACAATCACTAACAACCCCTTTGAGCCTAACTCTAGATCATTGGCAAGACGTTCAAGATCGGGCAGACAACCTGTCCGTGGCAGTCAAAAAAAAAAAATGGGTAACACTCTGTACCACGGAGTGGCCAATATTGGCCCACCCTCGAAGTTAAATGGCCCCCAGGAGAGTCCCTCCATCTCTCTCTCTAATTTGCAAAGTCAGAGATTGTCTTTCAGCCGGGGCCGCATGGCCATCCAGATCATGGCTTTTAACATTTCAGGACCTCTGCGAATCCCCTCCTGCATGGGTGGGATCCACGCAGTCCGCCGGGAGGATTCCACCCGGCGGTATGGCGGATCTGTCCCGTCCCTGTTCCTCCCGGCCCCTCCACCCCAGGAAGCGAACGGGTCTTCCTGGAGTCGGGCTGCTTGGAAATGCAGCCCAAGGCGGATGATAAATTCTATCTAAGGCTGAATACTGAGACTAGGGAAGCAATGTTTTCTTCCCCCCCCCATAACCGGCTTGAGTGCAAATAGAGATGCCTGCTGGGGATTTAACAACTTTGACATCTCGCTTTGACTTTTCTCAAAGCCCTGTCCTCATTATTAAATTAATGTTAATTGGCTTTAGAGATGGGAACCAAATTTTCAGTCACAAATTTTGACACTCTCAAGGGGACTTTTAAGGAGTTCCCACTCTGCTTTCTTGGGGAAGCCTAGCACTCGAAACAACTGCAAGCAGAGGATGGACTTTTTGGGAGCTGGCTACTAACAAGTTAAAAAAAAAAAAATACCTAAACTAGAGGAACTGATCCTGTGGGTGAAAGATAGGATTAAGGGACTCCCAGCAGCTGCCAGAGCCATTTAGCTCTGGGGAGTTCCCTGGGTCCTTATCTACATCTTAAGGATCTGTTTACTTAACCTCTGTTTACTTAAAAAAAAGGGACACTGAATGCAGTAAAGCCAGTCACACTGAGACCCTTGATTTTACACCTATAGTTGCCCCTACGTGAAAACATCTGGTCCACTCATAGGAAAATCTATGGTGCCACTGTGCCGCAGTCTGGCTGGGCACACAATCACGAGCCACCACACAGCTTGTAGGTTCAAACAGCAACTCTTTATTCCCGAACTCACACCAGCCGTCTACCAACACGTTCTGGGGAAATCCACGTTCTCTTCCCAAATTCACCTCCACTGGGCTTCTATCTCCAAAATATACTGTCTGAATCCCGTGAGAACTCAAGGGGAACTCAGGCAGCAGGATACGCCCTATTCCCAGCAGGAATAATCTTAAACCTTAAACCTGGAACCTAAACTGGGAACGCCCTAAGATTATCTTAAAACCGGGAACACCCTAATCTGCCTTGGTCCTTGAGCAAGGTTAAGTACATTCAATGTTACTGCAACATGGGGTACGCTGGCAAGGAAATTGTCATACCTACTTGGCTAATGGCTCCCAGCATCTCCCCCCTTCTGATTAATTAAACAACAAGCAATGTGGCTTAAGGACCGTGCCTGGTAGGTTGTCCAATTCAACATATGGTTCTTACCCGTCATCGGAAAACTGACCTTTAGGCGTCAGCCTCCTGTCTTAGGTTGATACCACTGCAATTGAATCATACCCGTCACTGACTACCGGTCCAGCATACAGCCATACTTGTGGATAGGTCTATGCACCAGTGGGGGGGTGAGGTTCTTTGCCTCACCTCTGTTGGCCCCCAAATTTGGCCTTGGTGCCAGTGGGGGAGTGAAGTTAATGTGGCTTATGGACCGTGCCTGGTAGGTTGTCCAATTCAACATATGGTTCTTACCCGTCATCGGAAAACTGACCTTTAGGCGTCAGCCTCCTGTCTTAGGTTGATACCACTGCAATTGGATCATACCCGTCACTGACTACCGGTCCAGCATAAGCCATTGGCCCCCAAATTTTAGACCATCACTAGCAGAAGGGAGGAGGATACAGAAATGCCACGACACCAAGCCAATTGACGGCTCCTTGGGAAAAATTGCATCACTGGTGACACCATCAGCAAAGATATGTCAGCACTACCACAATTCGCTGCACCAAATGATAGTTACATAGTCCAGGCAAGTTCTGCAAGCAGTTCAAAGCAGAGGAATCTATCAATATGTCCATTTCCTCCCAAAATCCGTTTCCTCCCAAAGTAAGTTGACTCTTTGAGCATTACTTGTTGAGTTCTTCACCGGCACTGGGATGGAGATAGGAATTCTGGCAATGATCCTAAAAAGACATTATCCTGAAAAGAATTATTAAATATAATGAAAAGGAAAGGTGAAAGTAAACAAACAGATCTGTTAACCTACTTTAAAAACAATGCTTAACAGCTTTTTACCTAATTTAAATTAGTAAACAAACAGATCTGTTAACCACCTTTAAAAACAATCCTTAACAGCTGTTTACATAATTTAAATTAAACCATTTAAATCACGTGAATAAAAAAATAATAATAATTCGGATCCATTTTTTCATGAGCGCTCCTCATATAAGAAATATGGACATACGCACATACAGACATACAACACAAAACACAAGAGTGTACACAAACATACAACACATAAGAAAATAGTAAAGGCCTTGTAGCTTTACCTAGGTGAAATCCCCATTGCAATGTTTAAAAACTCCACAGTCAAAAAATAAAACTGATCAGAAAAACATTAACCTAGGTTTGTATGAGCTCAAAAAATAAAAATAGAACCTTATGATGTGGAAAAATGCAATAATAAAATAGCTATTGAAAAAAGCATCCTGGTTAATCACTGTCGCAGATGTAAGAATGGCCAAGCTGGAGTTCTGGATATCAGCTGTTATGGATTTGAGTCAAATCATCTTCTTTTCGATCTGTAGAAACTGTTTTAGTTAATCTCTCTGGAATCCAAATGGGCTGCTGTTCTCCCTGTGGAAAAACACAAACAGACCCCCGACTCCAGACAATCACTGGGTCAGGACCTTTCCATTGTCCTGTTAGAATATCTTTCCAAAGTACTTTAGGCTTATGTACATTTTTTGGATACATATGCCTTTCCGCAGCACTAAGTCCTGATGAATCCAAATTTAAAAAGTTTAGAGTAAAAAGCGTTATTTTAAGTTTATCTTTGGGGGATATATACCCCTTTCCAATTCCCTCTTTTTGCTTTAATAAGTATATGTCTGTATCTAATAGTTATCTTAGCTTTTTGCATTTTCTATCTGAAATACCTTTACTTGACATTTTCAACCATTTTCTATCTTATTTTTATCTTCTAGTTGTCTTTTTTTAAGGTTTGTATTTTTACCCTTAGTTGCTTATTTTCCTCCTAGTTTTTTTTCTTTTCCCTATTTTGTGGGTTTAAAATTCTTGTCTTTCTACATCTTTTTTATCTTCCTACATCTTTATCTTTTTTCTTTTTAACTTTCTATACTTCCCTCTTTAAAGTTTTTCACTTTAAATTTTTAATCTTCTTTATCTAAATATCTTTTATCCTATTATCTTCCCATTTTTTTAAAGTAATGCCTTTAAGATTAACTAGGCTTCGAATGATGCAATAAAGCAATCTTTTTTCCGCCATGAAGGTATCTCGACCACCTTCAATTTAACCTTTTAAAGCCTTTTAATTATCATCTATACTGTACTTTTAAATGTACTTTTTCACCCCCTACAACTTCACTCTTTTAAACGAGGCTTAGATTCTATTTAAATCGCTTTAATGTTAGTTTACATGGCTGCCCTTCAACCAAAGGCTTTTTTTTTAACTCCATTGAGAAGCTTTGTCTCAATCTGCCATGTACAAATACCTTTTTCTTCTTTCTTCCTTTCTCAAGCTTTTAAATTAAGTCTAGTTTCCTCAAAATTTTTTTAAATGACATTTTACAACTTTTTACTTTACCACACAGAGATTATCTCATCTAGAAACATTTCTTTCTCCTTTAACCTTTTATATTAAAATATATTCCCACATCTTGAATCTTTATCTCTTTTTTAACTGTTAACCCTTTTTATAAATTTACATTCTGAAACAACTCTTATAAAATTTCTGATTTAGACAAATTACTCCACTTTAATAAGATGAAAGACTTTCATGTTTTTTATGATACTATAATACTATAATTGAAACCCAACTGAAACTTCTTATACTCTTTGTATATAAATTACACATGATAGAATCTTAACTCTTAGTAACCTTGTTTTAGCAAAGACACAGACACAAAGCAATATTAAACTTTTTTTCCATTTACCAATTTATGAAAACACACATAATGTTTAAATATATTACCTTATGGAACTTAATAAGTAAAGAGTACTTGATTTCATATTTAGTGGTTGATATTTTAACACTTTAGCTTTGTAAATTAATCAGATGTCTGTAAAAACCAAGATCTTAGACAAGTGTAGTAAACAGAACTAGCCATCTCTTTCTTGTTGAAGAAAAATCCTTCTACAGGATACCATGATGGTCTCATTAATATACTTAATAACTCATCTTTAAAAAGCCATTGGCTACATTTTTGCATTGTATCAACATATGCCCTAACTGTTGTTGGTCTTACTGGGGTGCCTCCTTCCTCTAACAATTTCTCTTCCTCGGAGGCGAACAACTTCAAACCTTGAGTCAACCATTTTCCCCAGTTTGCCTGAGAAAGTTCTAGGAACAGGCAACTTGAAATAAAAACAAAATAAATCAAAACAATAACACATTGTTTTTTGAAATGTTCACCCATTCTTTCTCTCTTCCTCAAGGGTGAGAAATTTCACTTACCTCTAAGCTTCAGAAGTTCCCCGCACGGGCCGCCAAATGCCGCAGTCTGGCTGGGCACACAATCACGAGCCACCACACAGCTTGTAGGTTCAAACAGCAACTCTTTATTCCCGAACTCACACCAGCCGTCTACCAACACGTTCTGGGGAAATCCACGTTCTCTTCCCAAATTCACCTCCACTGGGCTTCTATCTCCAAAATATACTGTCTGAATCCCGTGAGAACTCAAGGGGAACTCAGGCAGCAGGATACGCCCTATTCCCAGCAGGAATAATCTTAAACCTTAAACCTGGAACCTAAACTGGGAACGCCCTAAACAAGATTATCTTAAAACCGGGAACACCCTAATCTGCCTTGGTCCTTGAGCAAGGTTAAGTACATTCAATGTTACTGCAACATGGGGTACGCTGGCAAGGAAATTGTCATACCTACTTGGCTAATGGCTCCCAGCACCACTGATGGGAGTCATAATTAAATGAAAGTTCAAAACCTGGAGAGATATTTTCTTATCTGGTTGTCTAATTGTTTCTTAGGGATAATCTAGGTTAAATATGTGTCTAAAAAATAAATAATAATAATTTTTTATTGTAACAATCTGGTATCTAAATGGGTTTCTAAAGCATTGCACTATCTTGCAGTTAAAAGTTGGGTTTAAGCAATTGTTTAGTTTGATTTCAGATAGTTCATGCTAGAAAACTTAAATACTTGGGATAAAAAAAATTTTAAAAGTTTCAATTTTGAACTGGGTAGCCTGAAAAAAAAAAATTAAAAATAGATCCAAATATCTTTAATTCACGTGATTCAAACGGTTCAATTTAGATTGGGTAAACAGATAAAAGTAAAGATGTCCTCAAAATTAAGCTTATAAGTTTCTCTAGGTGTTCAAAAAGGCCCTAATAAAATGTTAACTCTGCTTAAATTTAAAAGTTTACAAGTATTGTTTCAAAATGTGAACAAAAGGAGGTTTATGTAATTATGGTGTTATTAATGTGTTCATATCTTCCAGGTATACAAGTCTGTAAGGTAGAAGCTTCAAAAGAACATTATATCAAGCTGGTGTTCTAAAGTTGTATGGTAATTTAGGCTTAAAAAAAAAATGTTGGAAATTCAATTATATCATTTGTGTTCTATAACTGAACTTGTTATCAATAAGATATGTACAGTTCCATGTTACTTTCTACTCTAAGATACAATTTATGTATTTTTAAGTTAATAAGAGCCTAATCTGTGTAAAGGTTTTATTGCAAAACACAAAAGTACATTACTACTTTTCTACAAGAGGTTAAAAGCTTTCAGCCTTTAATTCATATTTTAGGTGTGATATTATGTTGTGTTAGCTAATGTTCATGTAAACTTGAACAACAATTTATGTAAACTTTGTAAAATGATCAGCTTCAGAACTATAGTACTTGAGATTTATAAAGAGCCCTGCCTTACTTGAGATAAGGCTCTGTCCCATCTCACTACATGTAAAAATGGCTATAAAAAAAGGTAAGCCAGATTTCAGTACAGTTAAAGTTGTGTCCAAAAGTAGGTTTTTGCCAAGATTACTAGGATCTCAAACAGGAAATTATGATGTATAACCCTGCCAGAATTCAAGGTAGCTATTATATAAGCTAAATATGTTTTTACCCTAGTTAGTTTTGTTTTGTAGTTTGCTTATAGATGGTTTAAGGATTGCCTATTAATATTCTAAAGAGGTATTGCTTTAAGAACACAACCTGGGTCAACATAAGATAAAGAGTTATCACCTACAGGATAGAGAGATAGACATTAAAGCCCAGTGCTCTTAATATAAGGCTGTTAACTTATTTGCTGGATGTTTAAGATCAAGTTTTTAAAATTAGTTAAATTAAAAGGGCCAAAAAAACCAATATTTGGCTCTTGCCCTCTGAGTCAGTCTGAATCAGGGAATAGGGGACTTCTCCAAAGGGCTCAGCAACTCTAGGCCACATAACCTCCTGAGCAGGGAGATTAATGAGACCAGTGGAGGACAGAAAGCCAAATGGTGCATTTGCTGTAAAGAGGAGGGTCATTAAAAAAGGGAGACATCCCTGATGCTTCTGAGGGAAGCCATATGGTCAAACAAGGCCTGGACCCATCCTAGCGCAAATGGCACTAGCAGAACTGAAAAGCTGCTATGAAGTTCCCGAGGACTCCCAGGATAACTCAGCTGACTGTAAACAATAGGTAGAAACAAAAGTCAGTTTGACTTGCTTCATCTTAAACACTTAGCAAAGACAGTCAAAGCCAAAGCACAGCTGTTCCTGGACATCTTAAATGATAATAATAATTAAATGTAACTTCCATAAATAAATAGACTGGAGGCTACAAGAGAAATTCTTAGACAGAAATGCCTGATAACTGTCAAAGGAACTACTAGAATAGTTTTAGTCTAAGGCTTTTATTTCTAGACAACACAGGTAGACTTGATGTTTGCTAATATGGTTATCCAGCCCTAAGTAGCAGAATTAAAGATTTCTCTATTAGACACAGAGGAAAAACAAAAGGCTCTTTTGGAAGCTCGCAAAAATGTGCCAGGGGACGACGGGCGCCCCACCCAACTCACAAATTTGATTAACAAAGCTTTTCCTTTAACCCGGCCAAACTGGGACTATGCGACTGAAGCAGGTGAGAACCACCTACATCTCTATCGCCAGTTACTCATAGCGGGTCTCCATGGAGCAGGGGGGTCTCCATGGAGCAGGGCGACGGCCCACCAATTTGGCTCAGGTAAGACAGACTATCCAGGGGTCAGAGGAAACTCCGACAGCCTTCTTAAAAAAATTAAAAGAGGCTTATCGGAGGTTTACTCCCTTTGATCCTGATAATGAGGACCAAAAAGGAAACATTTAATGGGCCTGCCTTCGTCTCCCAGGTAAGTCAGGCGGTAGCCAATACATTAAAAATTAATTAAAAATTACATTATGGTTATAGACCCCAAAGTTCAGGACAGGTAAAAAAGATAAATAGAACCATTAAGGAGACTTTAACTAAATTGACACTTGAAACTGGCACTAGAGACTGGGTACAACTCCTACCTTTAGCCTTGTGTGGGGCCCAAAACACCCCAGGCCCACATGGACTAACCCCATTTAAAATCCTGTACGGTGCCCCACCTCCCGCTATTAACTTTTATAAAACTAAAACCTATGCCTCCCTCACCCCATCTATGCAGACTCATTTGCATGCTTTGCAATTGGTCCAGAACGAGGTCTGGAAGCCTCTAGCCGCAGCATACAAAGAGGAACTTAAAACCCCCTTGCTGCCACATCCCTTCAAGGTCGGAGATACCGTCTGGGTACGCAGGCACCAGAGCAGGAACCTCGAACCGCGGTGGAAAGGACCCTACACTATCCTGCTGACCACTCCTACTGCACTCAAAGTGGACGGCATCGCTGCTTAGATCCATGCTTCCCACGTGAAGACTGCACATCCACAGGAGTCCGCAGACACCTCTCCGGATCCAGAATGAAAGTTGCAACGTACCCAAAATCCGCTAAAAATAAGACTCACTCGCTGTTAATTTTTCTTGCTTTGTGCTGTGTCTTCCCCATATCAGTTAACCCCAACCAATCTGTGAGCCAGACATGACAAGTATTATCGGGGACAAGAAATATAATTTAAAAAAAAAAAAACAAAACAGGATCCCCCACTTTCTGCCGACTCTTGCAGGAGCCTGAAATGGTACGGGGCAGGGCCATGTACCGCATTTGCCTGCAACCCCTTAAACATTACCTTTACTCAGGCAGGCAAAGCATCAAAAGATTGGATAAAAAAAAAAAACAATGGGGCCTGAGAGTATATCATAAAACTGCCTATGACCCTGGGGTCCTATTCAAAATTAGATTAATAGTAAATACCAACCCCCAACCAGTATGCTGAGCCGTCAGCTGAAATAATGCTGGAATCCGAGCAGATGGGTCAATGGATATAAGATTATATCCATGATATAAAAAAAGGGGGGAATGAAGGACCCCAAGGCCCCAGGCCCAACATTAGGAAAACTAACCCCTGTGCCCTGAAGCTGCAAGATGTTCCATATAGATAACCCCGGAAGGGCCAAACTTGAGCAAACAGGGTAAAAACAGGAACTAAACGGACAGGATGCAATTTTATGGTTTTTCTGAGAACTAAAGTGGGAAAACAAGTTTACCCCCCTAGGTGACTCAACTGCTGAATTCAGAGGGACCAATAGGAAGGCTGTTGCTGTGCTAAGCTAAGACCTAACCCACCTGTTCCCTATAAAAGATCTATACCCCAAAGCCCGGTGTGCCAGTTCACCGAAGCTCCGGCTGAGGTTTTGCTGTGCACCCGCAGGCGCCTGTGTGAGAATAAACGCCTCCTGCTTTTTGCAGCCAGTGTCTCGTGTGGTTCATTCCGGGTTTGGGATCTGTGGATATTTCAAGACTAGAAGACCCATCTGTGGGCAACTCCAGCCTAGGAAGGCCACACATGAGACACCAACCCAAGGGAACTGTTTCATGAACTGTACTCAGCAAAGCTGTGGGGGTGAGGTGAGCTGGAGCCCTGAGACCAGACCATCACCCCAATGGGTCCAGAAGGTAGAACATGGGGTCAAAGATGATTCTCTAGCCTTAAAATTTAATGCTCTTTTCCCTTTTAAATTTTGAATTTACTTGTAACCTATTATCCTTTTCAAATTTCCTGTTTCTCTTTTGGGGAATGGAAGTGTTTATCCTGTGGCTGGTCCCACCGTTGTGTTTTGGAAGCACATAATTTATTCGATGTCACAAACTTCCAACAGGAAGAGAATTGCCTCAGGATGAGTTGCACCTTTGAGTTTTGCCACATCTAGTTTAAATGAAACTCTGGACTTTAGGTTTTGGGGTTGATTCTAGAATTTATTAAGACACATGGAACTATTAAAATGAAATGAATGCATTTTACATGTGAGATAGGCATGAATTTTGGAGTGTCAAGGACAGAGTGCTGTAGTCTGAATGTGTTCCTTTAAAATTCATGTTGAGCCTTGTGCAAAGGCACATACCTATAATCCTATCAACTTCAAAAGCTGAAACAGGAGAGAAAATTTAAGGCTAGCCTCAGCAATTTAGAGAGACTCTCAGCAATTTAGTGAAAACCTGTATCAAAATAAAAAGAAGTGGGGATATAGGTCAGTGGTAAAGTGCTCCTTGGTACAATCCCCAGTAACAAAAAAATAAAGAAAATAAAATTCATGCTGAAGCTCAATCTCCATGTGGTAGTATTAAGAGGTAAGGCCTTTTAGGAACTGATTTAACTGATGAGGTCTCCATCCTCATGAATGGGATTAGCGCCTTTATAAAAGAGATTGAAGGGAGCTTCCTGGTCCCTTCTGCCATAGGAGAATGCAACAAAAAGGTGTCATCCATGAGGAATGGGCCTCACCAGACACCAAATCTGTTGGTACTTTGATATTAGACTTCTTAGCCTCCAGAACTATGTACAATAAATTTGTGTTTATAAATTATTATTTTGATATAGTATCAGGTACAGAGTAACACAAAGTGCTTTTTTGCAATTCAATATGAACTTAAGAATCAGCTTCTCCATATCTGTGAAAAAGGCTGTTGGAATTTTGATCAGAATTACACTGAATCTGTAGATCACTATGGGTAGTATTAACATATTTTGGGGGAGGATACCGGGGATTGAACTCAGGGCAGCTGACCACTGAGCCACATCCCCAGTCCTATTTTTATTATTATTATTATTTTATTTAGAGAAAGGGTTTCACTGAGTTGCTTAGTGCCTCGCTTTTGCTGAGGCTGGCTTTGAACATACAATCCTCCTGCCTCAGCCTCCTGAGCCACTGGGATTACAGTTGTGTGCCACCATGCCTAGCAGTATTAATATCTTAATGATATTAAAATGTCTTCCTGCCCATGAACACTGGATATATTTCCATTTATTCAGATCTTCTGAATTTCTTTCTGCCATGTCTTGTAGTCATGGCATATAAATCTTTCATCAATTTGGTTAGATTTAGTTCTAAGTATTCTTAACAAAATTGATTTCTTAGTTTTCTTTTTGTTCATTTTGGTATATAAAAACATAACTGATTTTTGTGTTTTAATTTGATACCTTGCAATTTTGATAAGTTTTTTTTTTTTTAGCTCTGATAGTTCTCTTTTGGTTTCTTTTGAGATACTCTGTATATAGGTTTATGTTATCTTTGAATATCGTTTTACCTCTTCCTTTTTAATTTTGATATCTTTTACTTCTTTTCCTTCCATTACTGGCTTCTAACTTCATCCCACTGTGGTTGGAGAAGAAATATATAATACCTGTCTTTCTAAATCTACTAAAACTTGTTTGTGGCCTAATGTTTGGTCTCTCTGGGAAAATGTTCAATGTACTTTTGAAAAGAATATATCATCTGCTATTGTTGGGTAAAGTGTTCCATATGCATCTGTTAAGTCTAGTTGGTTTTCTGAGATGTTCACATTCTCTATTTTCCTATTTATCCTCTGATTGGTCTATATATTTTTAAAAGTCTTCCATAGTTTTTGTAAAAATATCTCCCTTCAATTTTATCAATTTTGTTTTATGTGTTTTAAGAGTCTATTAGTAGATGTGTTATAACTGTTACCCTTTCTGCTGTATTGAACCTCTTATTTTTTAATTTATTTTTTAGTTGTAGATGAACAAATACTTTTATTTTGTTTTATTTTATTTTTATGTGGTGCTGTGGTGCTCTACCACTGAGCCACAACCTCAGCCCCAATATTTTAGTTATATATAAAGTCCTTCTTTGTATCTTGTAACCTGCTTCTTGTAATCTGAAACTATACCATCAAGCACTTACGCCCTATTCTCCTAGCCTCTGGAAATCACTATTCTACTTTATGTCTCTCTTAATTTGATTAGTCTAGGAAACTATTGTGAAAGGAATCATAGTACTTGTCTTGTTATGACTGGCTTATTCCATGTAGCATATCTTCAAGGTTCATCTCTGTTATAGCTAGTATCAAAACAAAATGCCCTTCATTTTTAACAATATTTTTAAGTTATACATTGACACAATATCTTTATTTTGTTTATTCATTTTTATGTGGTGCTGAGGATCAAATGTGTGAGGCAAGTGCTCTGCCACTGAGCTACAACCCCAGCCCAAAATGTCCTTCATTTTTAAGGCCAAATAATATTCCATTGTATGTACAATACTACATATTATCTATCCATTCATCTGGCAATGGCCACTTGAGTTGCTTCCACCTATTGGCTGTTGTAAATAATGCTGCTGTAAACATAAGTGTACAAATACCTTACGTCACTTCTTTGGGGTGTATATCTAGAAGATAAATTTCAGGATCATGTGGTAATTCTGTTTAATTTTTTAACCATAGCATTTTCCACACATGCTACATTTTACATTCTCACCAGCAAAGCACAAACCTTCCAATTTCTCCATATCTTATCACTGGTTATTTTCTATATATTTTTAAATAGTAGCCTTCTTAATGGATTTGAAGGGGTATGTGTTTGTCTTTTAAGTCATTTAGAAAATTTAAAGTAGTTACAAATCAAGATTACAATACTAGGTCTTATTATTGCCTATTGTCCATGTACTTACCTTTCACAAAGACTTTATGTCTTCATACAACTTTGAGTTACTATCCAGTTAACTTTTATTCCAACCTGAAGGATTCCCCGTAGCATTTCTTGTAGGACATGTCTAGTGGTAACAACCTACATCATTTTTCATTTATCTGGGAATGCCTTAACTTCTCCCTTATTTTTGAAGGCCACTTTTACCAAATAGACTTACTTTCTTTTCATTTCCCTCCCTCCCTCTCTTCCATCCTTCCTTCACCTCCTCCTCCTCCTTCTTCTCTAACTCTGCCCACCCACCCACCCTCAGCCAATATATTGACCCACTGCCTTCTGGCTTCCATGCTTTCTGAGATATCAGATGATGAACTTATCTAGGACCTCATGGATGTGACAAGGGACTTCTCTCTTACTGCTTTCACATTTCTCTGTCTTTGACTTTCGGCCACTTGATAATAACGCATTTCAATGTGAATCTGAGTTTATTGTATTTGGAGTTTGCTGAGGATCTTGGATTTGTATTCATTTATTTCATCAAATTTGAGAAGTTTCAGACATAAATTTCCTCCAATATTTTTTCTTTCAACCCTTCCCTGATTTTCTGCCTCTCTCTCCTCTTTCTAGGATTCGCATTATATGTACATGTTGGTGTGCTTGATGCCGTTCCGTAAGTCTCTTAGGCTTTGTTCACTGTTCTTCACTCTTTTTAATGATTCAATAATTTCAGTTGTCCTATCTTTAAATTTGTTGAATTTTTTCTGCTTGCTCAAATCCATTTTTAACTCTCTCTAGTGTATTTTCCCTTTCAGTTATGAATTTATTTTCAGTTCCAGAATTTTTTGATTACTTTTTTATAATTTCTATCTCCTTATTGATATTCTGATTTTGTTCATATATCATTTCCCTTTCTTTCCATGTTTCCTTTTAGCCCTTTGAGTATTTTTAAGACAGTTGTTAAAAATCTTTTGTCTATTTAGTCCAATTTCTGTGCTTCCTCTGGTTATTTTTTGTTGTTATTGATTTATCTTGTTTCTTTGAATGGCCTAAATTTCCTTTTTCTTCATAAGCTTTTGTTAATTTTTGTTGTGATTTTTGAACCTGGACACTTGAATCTGGAATATTCATATACTGGAATAATTCTGGAAACCATATCCTCCCTGCTTATCTCAGAGTTTAATTTTTTTAAGTTATTTAGGGTATCTCTTTGCCAGGAAACAGACTTAAGTAGAAGTTTAAGGTTTTCTCAGGTCTTTTTTGAACCCAAGTCTTTCCCTGGGTATGCCTAGTGGCTTTCCAACCAGCCCCATGTTCAGAATTGGTTTTTAATTAAACACACACACACACACACACACACACACACACACACGTACAGCTGCTTTAAGTGTTCTGGAAACTGCTTCCAAACAATGGTAGCCAGCTTCTGTGCTTACATTTCATTGATCAGGAACCAGCAATTACAACACAGAATCCTGATATTTGGAGGACAGGGGTTCTGGCCCCAGTGCACTCTGGCTCTAGCAAGCCACGTTGGAAACATGCTGCAGCTGCCTGCTATGAGACTTGCAGGGTGGGTAGCTGCTACCATGCAAAAGGCTGAAATCAACTGGTACTACCACAGCATAGTACCAGTCAAACTTCCCTCTGGAAGCAGCAAGCATCCCAATAGACTCTAGAATTCAAAACAAGTCACCTCCAACAGTTCTACCAATATAATTGTTGTTTAGATGAGCAGATTCCTGGTGTTTTTCCCTCTGTCAACTTCTTTAATGTAACCCTGGGATCTTCCAACATGCTCCTAAA